TTATTAAATGGGTTTGTGAATTTGATAGAGAACTTTGTTTATTCTGTAGCTGTGCTGTTCAACTACTAAATAAGCCTGTATTGGAGGTGGATTGAAGGATGTTTTGATGTGGTACAGGTATCTTGCAGGAACATAAATTGCTTGATATAATCAAGCATATTCAATCATAATCACAGGATATACAAAATAAAATGGGAAGCTTAAGGTTCTCCAGCTTTTGTTCTCAGATCATCCTTTATTTGCACATAAGCTACTTTTTTTCCTCATGACCTGTTCAACTCCCGAGTACTTAAAAAGGTAATTCTTTCTAAAAAGTCAAACACAGTATTATGGATTGTATTATGCACAAAAGTCAAGAAATAATTGCCATCAAAACCAATGACAAAAATGTAAATTATCTACTGTGTGAAGAAAATCTGTAATCTTCACTGGTATAGAAGTCACAAATATTAACAGCTGCTCAATGTTTCTTTTAAAAATAATAATTAAAAAGGGTGTGAAGTTAGTTACTTTAAAGGGAAATGGTTTGCTTTGCATGTGAGGAGGCTGTGCAAAAGATCTCATAGATATGAAAAAGGGCAAAGAAAAGCCTCCAGCTGTCACATTAATAAACAGGCTTAATACCACACATTTGCTTCAATACCTTCTCCAAGGGGAGCTGTGCCCAACCTCTAGAGCAGGAAAGGGTTTGAAGAGATGGTCCCGGAGAATGAAAACTGCTCCCTATCAAAACAGTCCTCAGACAAAGCTCCCTCTCATTAGACAGAGCAGAGGAATTGTCTTATACCTGAAGGCCAAAGACACAGACACAGGTGACACATGGAGAAGCTGAATCTTGACCGTGCATAGGGCATTTCTGTTTGAATGAAGTTTTGATGCTTGAGTGAATTTGGGAGACTTGAGTTTGCTGAAGGAAGTTCCCAAATAACAGTTAATTTGATCAATAACAAAATTAATTATGGCTATGAATAACTAAGATCATGAAGTGACACTCTAAAAGAGAACACATTTAAACTGGAAATGTATGTGGATGAATCCAAAAGATGATGGGTAATGATGCATCCCGAATTTCAGGGATAAGTTTGTACTTGTGTAATGCTATCCCCCTCTAGTGGCTGATAACAGCAAATATTTGGACATTATCAGCTTTTTAAGAGAAAGCACTAAGAGTGAATCCCAACTGGCCATATTAGTGTCCAATAATGATGCACCTTTCAGTCATTACATAATGCCTTTCTGAGTTTTTTCTGTCTGAATAGACCTGCTGTGTTTCAGGAATTCAATTCTGGTTTGTGAAAGTTACCTGCATACTTCAGATGAATGGAAGAAGGTGGCATTTATAGATAAAAAGAAACCGGACGCTGCTGTAAAAGACATTAATTGGCAAGTTTAAATGAGTAAAAAGACTTTATCCCTCTGTCTGCTTTGGGCCAGAATTCAGAAAACAGAACCTGATGACTGTGAGGTGCTCAATGAATGGTAGGAGAGGGCAAGATGAAGTATCAAACTGCTGTTTTGACACAGACTCAAAAAGAAGTTCCATCTACTTTTAAGATATTCCAGAGGATCTCCTCTGAAAATAACTGCAAGCTGTTTTAACTCTGAGACTTGCAAAATGATGATTATCTGCTCAAAGCTTTACCAAGACAGCAGCAAGGTGTTTCCTGTAAAAGTTTTCTGTGTAAATTCTGTCTTAGTTATGTGATGAAATCAGGCATTTTTTCTAAACCAAGGAAGGATTTAAGTCTATGCTGTATTTAAGAGTATTTTGACATGCAGTGAGATGGATGACCATCATTTGATTGGGCTACTGCTCTAAATTTGTGAAGAGCAGGGGAGGAACAGTATTTCTGTCATTGTGTTACACAAAAATGTAGAGCTTTCCAGCCAAATCAGCAGCTATGTAAATTAGCATAGATAATAACAAATGTGACTGAGAAGCCTGTAACAGTTCAGTATAAATTCTGTCAATTTGAGATGGAGTTAATTAGTACTATAACATTAGAAATTAGTACAGTTTCTGTAAACAGCAATAAAAGCTATATAGATAGCTCCCAGGAAGTGCATTAAATACAAGTCAATTGTATGATTACATTTGTACCATGACATGATAAGTATTCTTTCATGATTTATTCCAGATGCTCTGGAAAGTATTTTGGGATACTGTTTTCATATATGCTGTATAAATAATGCTGTTTACATTGTATGCTTTTAATACATCCTGTATGTAGGACTTGAAAAGGATAAATTGTAATAAATATTGTATTAAAACTTCCTATTCTGATGTGTCAACATTCGTTTAGAAATAAAATTACCTTAAAACCTTGCAAACTCTTACTCTGGACAGTCTTGTTTGTTCAAAAGATGTATGAAAACAAAAGGCAGTTCCTCTGGAGCCTGGATGTTCCTGTCAGTGTTTCCTTTGGCAGAGGGGCTCTTGAGAACAGGAAGACACTCCCTTGCTAAAGACTAAAGACTCTTCTCGAAGCCAAGTAACAGAAGTAGATTAACTCTTTTATGAAATAAAGAACTATTGACTTGCACAGGATAAACAAGAACTTGGGCACTGCAACTCTTGCAGAAGTACTTAACAACTTCAGATCCCACAGATAACATCTGGATACATCCGAGGTGATGCTCTCCAGGCTTCAGCATGATGAAATTGGGATGACCACGGCCCATCTTTTTTTTACAGTTTATATCCCCTCACTAATAAAGATTTATCATCAGGACTATCACAATGAAGCAATCTACATGTCAATTAAATGAGAAGAGGTCATCCAGACATGACGATCAGTGTTACTGGCTTGCAGTGCTCAGCTGAAGAATGTGAAGGTTTTTAGTTGAGTCATGCTTCCCCTGTATGTGTAATCAGCTTGCCAAAAGGACCTCATAAAATCTTGCTGAGATCAGCAGTGCTCAGTGCTAAACCTCCAGCACAGGAATCTGAGAGTTGGGTACCAGTGCTTTTCAGAGAGGCTTGAAATCCTTGTTTTGACATCTGAAGACTTTTAAGACATGGACAGATAAACAAATAGGTAAGAAGTAAGTTCTCTCCACATTGCTAAGTCTGTAATTCTGAACAGGGAATCCCTGCTCCACAGAATGGGAATGTAGATGCTGAGAGTTTCATTCCACTTATATTTTATTTCATTCCCATTCAGCACCTGGGCCTATTTGCATGCATAAAAGAAGAAATGTGCTGAAGAAATCTGATGAGTTAAGGCCCCTCCAGTCCTACCTCAAGCACAAGAGCATGTAAGAAACACAGGAAAACAAGGTGATAGGAGCCATCTACAACTTAAGGTATGTGAAAGCTTTCAAAAGAAACAGAGACCTGGTGAATGAAAGAGAAAATAAATAGAAGTGGACATATATGGCATAACTATATTCTGTAAAGGGGTGTGTGGTGTGTAGGCAGGCTACAATAATCTCATTGTAGGTATAAGGTATAAGCATATAAATGGTTGCTATTAAGGTGTTGAGGTATTTTTTTGAGAAATAAGGTTAAAGGAGGAGTTATTTTCTTTAAATGAGAAAAATAAAGTGAATTATTAGACAGGTGCATCATGCTGATTTAATTTTTTTTTAAATTATACTAAAATGCTTCATTTTAATTCCAAATATTCACACTAATTTTTCACTTATTTTGGGGTGTTCTTTTAATGCAGCTCATTATTTTTTGTTAGTATACCTGATTTTCCTGTCATTCTAATAATTTAATTTTCTTGTAGAAATAATATTGAATTGCATAGTAATTCCAAATAGATTATATTTAATGCTAGATACCTAGTGTCAGAAAACAGACTGACTGAAAACTGTATCTAATAATAGCTCTTGAGATAATGTCCTAAGTGAGAAACATAGGAAAGCCTAATTATGCAAGAAATAATTTAAAAATCTTCTTACATACTTTGCTCGCATGAATGCTGATCAAAATATTCAAGAAAATGATTAAAAATAAAACCTCTAATCAAGAAGGCCAAGCCTGCTCTGAGGAAAACAATACAAATATGACTGTGCACTGCAATTAATGACAGTGTATCAGTCTCCCAAGAGAAGCAAAAGCAAAGTCTTTGGGCTAAACTTGCAGGACCTATTGCTGGATGGTGGTGGCTCATGTTCAGAGTGTGGCTAGTGAGGATTTTCCTACACTCCTGCATTTTGCCCCAGGGGAAGCAGTGCCCAAGTATAGCATTTTCCTCAGTCCCACAGGTGCCCCATACTACTGCTTCTTGACTGAGAAAGCTTAAATCTCTTTTCCCTTTCTTTTTGTATCTAAACTAATATTGTCTAGATTGCATTGTATCTAGGTGCTGCCCATCCCTCCATAAACAACAGATTTGAAGCACGTTCCAAATTTCAGCTATTTGTTCATCATTCTGGAACTGTGTGCCACCTGTAAGCAGACTATGGTATTCCAAAACTTGACACCCCTGAACTGTAAAGATGAACAATATTCCCAGTGACCTCAGAGAAATACAGACCTGGTGAATGGTGTTCTAAGTGTGGCTGCAGAATGTTCAGTTGCGATTCCCAGCAGTCATGCTATTAGGACTTTATGAAATTGTTTCTCTACCTTCCTGTGTTAATGTAGTTTATAGCACATAAACTGAAACCTGCTGTAAGTACTGTTACTTTTCTGTACATGTAATTACAGCAGCTGAACTGAGATGAACCATCATCATGCAAGTGCAGAGCAGCTGTTTAATACAGTTGTTCCTTCTGGATGCTCCTTTCCGTGTGGGCAGCACCAGGGCTCTGTTCCTGTGCCCAGCCTTCCCGCTTTCCCAGTCTGAACCAGAAAAAGAGGCTAAAAAGCAAGGCAGTGTTCTTTCTTGCAGGGTGCAGAAAGGTTACACAGGTGACATAACTTAAGCCTGGAGTCAGCAACTCAGAGGGCTCGTGTCCTGGAACACTCTGTGATCTCCTGGTCGGAAAAACTCTCAGTGATTTTCCTTTTCCCCAGACTCTTTGGGAAAACTCCCTGAGAGGTTTTTTCACAGGAGATGAGCCAGGTTGTGCACAATAGACAGTGAAACCTCTTCCAACTAGTCACTTGGCTTGGCTTTTCTCACCCTAATCGTGGTCAGTTTTTCCACGGGCAGCTGCCTACTTGATGAATCTCATTTCCCCGGCCCTGGGCCTTCCCACTCCCCTTCCAGCTGAGCAAACAAAGGGCAGGCAACGCTTCCTCCTCCCGTCCCTCTGGGATGGGCCTTCCCTTCATCCTGTCCGTAAAACAATTGTTTTACCCATCGGTGAGAAACGTCCCTCCCCGCTGTTCTTTGGGTCAAGAAACCCCCTCTGGGATCAACTTTTATCAACAGCCGGGACGTGGGAGCCGCGTTGCTGCGGGTGGGCTGGGACCTGCGGG